ATGTTGTCTGTGTTCCTACTGGGTTTAGAGGTCTAATATAGCCACATTTGATGTTTTTAAAATAACTGTCAGGGTTGGGATTGTCTTTCCTCAAGTTATTTTCATGGTGTAGTCCCATGTGCTCTTATTCTGTATTATTATTATTTTTTTAATAACAAGAAAATGAAAACATCTTTATTCCATATTTTCACAAACTGTTCTAAAGACAGCAAACTGGTCAGTTGTTTATCTTTGGCTTTAAAATATACTGGTAATTCTAAACCAGTCTAAAATGTATTGTTAATGAATAAAATCTAAGCATTTATACTTGCAAAAATGTTTTTGTAATGAGTGAAGCATTGGCCTAAGGAGAGACTAAAATTTATTTTCAAATTGTGTAACTGGCTTCCAATAATCCCTTATCAGTAGACTTACTGGCAAAATACCAGATATTAAGGATCAGATTTAATTCTTTGATAGAAGCATGAAACTGTTTCTGAGAGCTTTTCATGGCTAGCATAAACCAAGTAACCCAAGGAGCATGGGAGACAATAATGAAGTCTAGTATACAATGCAAGTCAGGCAGGAGCCATAACTTAACGTTTTGTTTTTAAACAGGGAAAATCAACACTAACAATACACTCTAGGGAAGGAATCTAAAACCTACTTAGAAGCTTTAATATTATATCAAACCAAAAGATTAAGCTTCAAAATGACTAAATTTATAACTGGATATTTTGCTGCATTTTGGCTTTATACTGTAACTTGTAGTATACCACAATCTGAGGACTCTTAGCACTAGCTTGGCACAACTGACTAACTCCTCCTATCCCTCCCTCCAGAGTGTGGGGGGAAATAATATTCTTCTCACCATAAATGCCTCAATTTTATACAAGTCAGGATGAAAGGTATAAAAACAAGGTTACAACTATATTATCATTTTGCATTTTTTTCTTTGTGACATATACAAGTATATTTTTGTTTTGGGGGCTGTATACTGTTTAATTTAGCAAGTTTTAAGCCTATAAAATTTAACTTTTTGAATAAGAAGAGTATAGGACTTTATAGCTTTTAATTTTATCATCAAAATATCTAAGGAATTCAATCCACTTTAATAATGATAATGTTTCTAAATATCACTTGAAAAATTCTTTGTGAACACTAGACTCAAGACTACACTAAATCCAAACAGTATACCTATGACCTGGGTTTTAAAGATTTTCACCTCAGAAAGCTG